TCTCTTTTTTTTCTCTCTCTCTCTCTCTCTCTCTCTCTCTCTCTCTCTCTCTCTCTCTCTCTCTCTCTCTCCGTTTTCACGAGTTCATCAAAAAAATGTGGTAAGTCGGAAATCATTTAACAATCACGGTGAGTCATGGCTTCTTCTCCTGTTATGTCACTTGCACTGCTTGCCATATGTGTAGTGTAGCATCCTCTGTCACCGGCGAGGGATTCACATGTGATAAATGCAGGGAAATAGTTAGGCTGACAGAGAAGATTTCAGAACTACAGACACGCATCCAAAATTTAGTTGAGGATATAAAGAGCACACTGGTGCCTTATAGAGAGCAGCCCGGAAAAGGGAGCACAGCTGAAAGAAAACAAAACTAGAGGTATTTCATATTGCATGGAGGGAAAGTACTTCTACTAATAGAAAAGCTCTAAAAACTGCTAGATCTGCTTACTTTTAATCTCTTTTAGAAGAAAACAAACACACCCCCAGGCATTTATTCAATACAGTGGCTAAATTAATGAAAAATAAAGCATCAACAGACGCAGACATTTCCCAAGAGCACAGCAGTAATGACTTTTTGAACTTCTTTACTTCCAAAATCGATACTATTAGAGATAAAATTCTAACCATGTAGCCGTCAGCTACAGTACCGCATCAGACAGTGCACTATAGATCCCCTGAGGAACAATTCCACTCATTCTCTGCTATAGGAGAGGAAGAATTTCATAAACTTGTCAAATCATCAAAACCAACAACATGTGTTAGACCCTGTTCCATCTAAGGTATTGAAAGAGGTTCTTCCAGAATTCATAGATCCTCTTCTGAATATTATTAATTACAATATTATATTGGCATTATTGGAATTGCATTGGCATGGTTCAAATCTTACTTATCTGCTGGAACCGGGAACACTTCCCATAACACCCGATGTACTCGTTACATCGGAAGAAGAATGGCATCTACGGTAATATTAGTCTGTTTCATTTTTATTCCAAGGTCACAGTAGCCATCCAGATCCAGTCCGTTAGCCTGGAATTAAACCACACCATGCTGGTTTTGTCTGGCCAGAGAACTGGCCCCCCCAACTAAGCCTGGTTTCTCCCAAGGTTTTTGTCTCCATTTATGTCACAGATGGAGTTTTGTTTCCTTGCCACTGTCGCCTTTGGCTTGCTTAGTTGGGGACGCTTAATTTCTGGCAATATTATCGGCTTGATTTCACAGACACTATTGGACCTCTTCTGAATATTATTAATTACAATATTATATTGGCATTATTGGAATTGCATTGGCATGGTTCAAATCTTACTTATCTGCTGGAACCGGGAACACTTCCCATAACACCCGATGTACTCGTTACATCGGAAGAAGAATGGCATCTACGGTAATATTAGTCTGTTTCATTTTTATTCCAAGGTCACAGTAGCCATCCAGATCCAGTCCGTTTCCAGATCAGATGGTCACCGTAGCCACCCAGATCCAGTCCATATCCAGACCAGATGGTGGATCAGCACCTAGAGACGACCTCTAAAGCCCTGAATGTCAGTGGAGACCATGTCAACTAGATGAGTCCCAGAGACAGATCCCCTGTGAAGACCTCGTCAACCATCGGGACAAGACCACAGGAACCAGACTAGTCCTCTGCACAATCTCACCTGTATTGCAGCCTGGAATTAAACCACACCATGCTGGTTTTGTCTGGCCAGAGAACTGGCCCCCCCAACTAAGCCTGGTTTCTCCCAAGGTTTTTGTCTCCATTTATGTCACAGATGGAGTTTTGTTTCCTTGCCACTGTCGCCTTTGGCTTGCTTAGTTGGGGACGCTTAATTTCTGGCAATATTATCGGCTTGATTTCACAGACACTATTGGAAGAGAGCTGAACTGGATGATGACATCACTGAATCAGCAATGAACTAATTTTAACTGAAAAATTGACTGTTTGTTATTGTCCTCTTGCATTATTGAAAAAACTATTTTCCTGTTTGACACTGAAGAGCTGCTTTGACACAATCTGTATTGTATAAAGCACTATATAAATAATGGTGACTTGACTTGACTTGACTTCAAAATTATTATACAGTTTGTTTACCTCGTCAGCATTGCCAGGTATACTGTCCATAGATGTTTAAAGTTGAAAATAACATTCATTTAACATTTGATGTATGTACAAATACAGCATTATTTTCTGTCTAAACACAAATCCAATTTTGTTCACACATAACAAGCTAGTAAGTTTAATAAGCAGTTTTGACAACTAAATGTAAAAGTAATCTATTGAAGTAGGTAGTCTGACTTTGTTCCTGTCCAAGTATCCACACTTTTGATCTTGGCCACTTGAGAGTGCATTTCGCACAATAGATTTTGCGTAGCGATCGTCTGCAAGCTGTGACATCGACATAAATAAAACAGAAACAAATACTCTTCCGGGAGAAGTGCCCATACTTTATGAACTCATACAGGGCTATAATCGAAAAAATCTTTCCAAAACTTATACGAACTCTGAAGGAGTGTATTTGGTACAGAAATACTCCGTCGTTTTTTGAAACTTTGGCCATGTTTATCATCAGAATCCAACTCTTTAGCAGTGTAAATAAGTCAGAATGCATGAAATAGCATTAGACGTCCCCTTTAAATTTTAATTTTCTCTTCACCTGTTGTAGTGGTTTGATGACTCTCTAAAGTGATACTGAAAGCTGATTGGCTTGAATGGTTTACCTATGACGATGATTGGTTATGTATTTGTCGGGATACAACTCTGAAGCAAATGGTTTTGCATCATTTCAGTATCCACGCTGATCAGTTTTTGATTCTCTGATTATGATTCTGGTCAGTTTAGGACAGAAGCATTCATGCTGTCTATATAATGTGTCATTGATTATATAGATTAATGCTCAGGGATTTCTGGAGTTTGTTGTAGATTTGTAGACAGGGTTATGCACGACTTTGTCATTATTGCCACCTACTGGTGTAACAATGTACTGTATTTTGCAGAAAGATTCGCTGATTGAATCAATGAATGAATGTGAAGAAATCTTTTTAGTGAATTTATAAGATTCCACGTACAAATCAAAATATCCTAAAAATGAATATATTCATTTTAACAATTCACATAATGCAGCTTTATATGATTCTAATTCAAATCACAGAATCCTTCTGTGTACTGTTCTAACAGACAAAAATAAATAAATAAATTCAGAGTGCCCTTAAAGACCAAAATATGTAAATATCAGTAAAACAAGGAATGTGATAATGATTCAAATTATCACTGGATTTAGATCTCAAATTTGATAATTATAAAATATCAACTCTTCAAATCTTTCCCCTATGTTTCCCACAATGACTTCCCCTAAACCAAAAGTGACAAAAGAGTGTGATAACGCCCTCATGTTTCCACACACACACACACACACACACACACACACGCGCGCACACACACACACACACACACGCACACACACACACACACACACACACCAGTCACTCCCAGAAACCTATTAAAAATAATTTCAAGTAAGTCTTTTTGTAGATGTAGTGAACATAATGTTCACCTATTAATTTTTCATTAAATAATCAAATTCATTAAATTTCTCACCTATTAATATGTCTACAAGTACACTTCTTTTTTTTATCTATGATTGAATTTTCCTCAGGTTAAACTTCAAAAAGCATATCTTAATGCATTTCAAGATCATATAAATGACTTCTGTGGAATGATAAGATATATAATTTATAAATGTATACTATTTCCACTGCCAAACAGCATGTAAGCTGACTCACTGTTTATTAAGTGCCCATTTCCTGTTTGTTAGTGAATATTAAATTATTACAGCTTCTCTTTCTCTGTTTTTCCCCCCTTCTTCTATCAGCATCCATCATGAATCCCATGTCACATCTATACTACAAAAAGAGCACCTACTCTCCGTACCGGGACAGAATCCCTCTACAGATCGTCCGGGCGGAGGTAGAGCTGTCTCCAGAGGAGCGCTCGTTCCTTTCAGCCGTAGAAAAGGGTGACTATGCAGGGGTCCAGCATGCACTACGTGAGGCGGAGGTCTATTACAACATTGACGTCAACTGCGTGGATCCGCTGGGCCGCAGTGCGCTACTAATCGCTATTGAGAATGAGAACCTTGAGGTGATGGAGCTGCTTCTGGATCATGGAGTGAACACTGGAGATGCTCTGCTCTATGCCATTCGCAAAGAAGTGGTGGGAGCCGTAGAGTTACTGCTGTCCCACAGGAAACCCAGTGGAGAGAAACAGGTCTGTATGTGTGTTGTTTTTTTATGCATTTTCTCTGCTGAAAAGAGACACTTTACACTAGTATTAATTTCTGTCATGGTTCAGGTTGGTTTATGCATTCTTAGTCTAGACTCGATCTGACAAATGTTGGATAAGTTAGTTAAGAAGCCTAAAAGGGATACCAGCACAACATATGTTGGTGACCAGCCTGGCTGATTTTTTTAGCTGGTTCACACTGTGTACTAACCAAGTGCAATGCAACAAATTTCTTGCTGCAAGTAATTTGTCTATGCACACTAAAAACCATATAAAAAATGCTGCTCAACACGACATAATCACAGTCAGTCAGAACAAATTTATGCTTTATGGAATGCAACAGTCGGGTTCCAGAAGTAAAGATACCATTTATTTTCTCCATAGGGAAATTGATTTTTAACTAGTACTTATACACCTTTAAAGTAGGGGTGTTGATCTTGAAATGAATCGTTGCATCATTGCATCGATGCATCGCGATGCGGACAATTCTGCATCGATGCAGTAATAGACCATAATCGATCGTCACGCGAGTATTAAAAATGCACCCACTATTTTTAAATCGAGATCTGGGCACACTTTGGAAAAACCAAGCTTAGTGTGGGAAAAAAACTGATCATGGCTTTTTCCTGCAGAACAGGACAAAACATCTGATATGTTGAAATAGTTCTACCAGAAAGACTCAGGAGGTGATGATAAGATTCGAAAGAATTTATTTTACAAAACCAAGACATAAAAAAAAAACAGAATTCTTTGGCGTAGGCCCCATCCGTAGCTTGAATCTGTAGGTTGAAGATTCAGCTATTACTGCCGAGACGAAGGCAGGGGCGGAGCCTACCCTCCTGCGTGGACAGGGCCAACCTGGTGGTGGTGTGGAGGATGGAAGGGAGCATCAATGTCAGTTTCTGCAAACACAAGGAAGGGTGAGTAAAGAGCTTTTATATTTCTCGTGTCGAGTGGCAGTTAAAATAAATTTGATATAATCGTGATGCATCGTGATATCGAATCGAATCGTTGACTTGATAATCGTAATCGAATCGAATCGAATCGTGAAACCGGTGACGATTCACACCCCTACTTTAAAGACAGACCTTTTGTGAGCTCTGAGGTTGTTAATCAATCATACATTCTTTTGTTGAAGCCATTATTTCACATTATTTCAACATATTTTTCAAAGAATCATGTTTAAAGGGGTGGTTCACTGGGTTTTTTTCTAGGCTTGATTGTGTTTATGGGGTGCAGTCTAACATGTGTTAATGCAACTAATATAGCAAATATAATAACAAATAGTACAGCAACCGCATATGTGTCCATGTTTAATGCTTCTCATAGCTATGTGAAAATAAGTGTATAATTGGAACAGTTCATTGTCGGAGCTGAGCTGAATGAGAGAGAGAGAGAGAGAGAGGGAGATGCAGAGCGTGTGTTGAGCAGGGGAATGCGAGGAACAGTATTGAGAACCGCTGCTTTTGAACATTGATTTGTCTATGATCTCATCAGTAATAATCAAATGGCAATAATGCTGAGAAAAAAGAAAAACCCATAACTATTATATGTAAACTTTCGATACTTAAAGCACTCCCAGATACTGAAAGTGCTTTTTGTTTATCACTTGTAATTGTCTTTCCCCCATTTATTACTTTATATTTGCTTGTATGTTTTGAAGCTATATTTAATTGGTTAAGTTCTTAACAATTGTTTTGATTTATTATTAATTTGTAATTATTTTAAAAAGTAGCCTGCTTATATAATTTTATAAAATGCACAAAATAAATTTGATATAATCGTGATGCATCGTGATATCGAATCGAATCGTTGACTTGATAATCGTAATCGAATCGAATCGAATCGTGAAACCGGTGACGATTCACACCCCTACTTTAAAGACAGACCTTTTGTGAGCTCTGAGGTTGTTAATCAATCATACATTCTTTTGTTGAAGCCATTATTTCACATTATTTCAACATATTTTTCAAAGAATCATGTTTAAAGGGGTGGTTCACTGGGTTTTTTTCTAGGCTTGATTGTGTTTATGGGGTGCAGTCTAACACGTGTTAATGCAACTAATATAGCAAATATAATAACAAATAGTACAGCAACCGCATATGTGTCCATGTTTAATGCTTCTCATAGCTATGTGAAAATAAGTGTATAATTGGAACAGTTCATTGTCGGAGCTGAGCTGAATGAGAGAGAGAGAGAGAGAGAGGGAGATGCAGAGCGTGTGTTGTTTATGCTCAAACAGCAACATTACACACTAACTAACATTAAAAAAGTGAAATCGCAATGAACCACCCCTTTAACAATGGAATTCCTGGTGAAAAACTACATTTCCCATAATGCGGTGAAGAAAAATTCACCAATCAGACAGTCACGGTGAGCAAATCTGCTCTGCTAAACCCTCACGGTCTTCCTCTGAGGCCACACTTTCGTGACGTAATGCTGCTTTGACTGTCGGATAGAAGTCGGTTGCTGCGGAGCTCGCCTCGTGTGGGCTCGGCAGATGTGTGCATCAAGGGCGCATAACGGCCGCAAAGGGGGCGCTTGCGAGCACCCTTCTGAAAGCTAAAATGACGAATGGGACACCCTACGGTCTCGTGGACTTAACGGACACGTGCACGCAGCAGCTATTGTAAGTCCGAAAGACCGCAAGTGCACATGAAGTGTGCCATTTGGGACAGGGCCAGTGAAGCACCGTGAATGATGTAGTTGAGTCTTGATAGACTCTCAAAATACTTAGATTTTGCTTTTTTTTTTTTTTTTTTTTTGCAGTATATTTTTAAAAAATGTATCGTTTTGATATACTGTATATAATCAACAACTTTAAATGAATAATTTATTATTATTATTAATAATAATTTGTAAAAAATAAATAAATCTGTTATTATTAAATATATTTTTCTCCATAGTTTTTAATCTGATAGATATCTGACTGGTTCTGAAAGCAAGTTGCTTAAACAGCTTAATGCAATAAATCATGAGTTTGAGATTAATTTGTATTTTTTGACTGATTCTTTAAAAAGAAGAACTGATTAAAAAGAGTCATATTGTGAATAAGATGCATGTGAGGACAGCACTATAGAAAGATTGTCTTTGCATTCTTTCATAAGCTCATAATTCTGCTAAAACATAATTTCTCTTGCTGTGGCAATGTACATTTGTTAGCAGAGCAGGAAATGCTTTCATGGTGTGGTTCTTTAGTACAGTATTTCACTCACATCAGTGATAGAATGAACTTTGTGATTGTCAATGGCACCGAAAATCATTACAATCATTTGATACAAGTAGTTATATATGTAGCGAATCATATATATATATATATATATATATATATATAGAACCTATTCTGAATAACAAGTAGTTCTTGATTCCCAACTCTGTGCACCTGGTTAGGACACAGTACATATAGGCTAAATATAATGTTTGCAAATGCATATTGATGGTGTCTTCCTACAAACGCAATGCCATATCGATGTTTGTGTGTATGCAGTTGGGAACTGTTCATATTTGTGGTTGTACTCTATGTGTGTTCGGATGAGTGGGTGTTCCAAAGCTAATAGAAAAGATGAGATGGCAGAGATTTATCTTTCAGATTTGATTTTCACCTCACGTAGCACGACAAATCTTTATTGGATTGCATTTTGTTATCCTCTAATCTTTCCCCTCATTCAAGGGTAAGATTAACCTGAAAAGCTTGCATTCCTGTATTCTCATCGATCAAGTTTTGCGGCATGCTTGGTTTGGTGGCCAGTGGAGGATGAAGGGGAATGGAACTTCAAGCGAGTTCTGCTAACATACAATGAAAACGGGCATGTGACAGTGGTATTCACTGTGAACCGAGGTTCAATTTATACAGCGTGGTGCCAGAAGGAAGCCACTGCACACAAAAGCTGTCACTATGAATTTATCAGTGCTTGAGGTTATGAAAGGCCTTTTCTAAGGAGTAGAATCAATGATGCATATAGAATCACTCACATCTATAGGTGAATAGCTGATGTAAAGCTGAGCAGGAAATGCAGATTCTGCAGAAACTTATAAAAAAAAATTTTTTTTTCAAATAATTTCATATACAGCAACTCTGTTACACTTCTCCTTCACTTAAAAATATAGTTATTTTGCTGAACTTGATTCAGCTGAGGAGAGTGGTTCCTTAATATTAAAGTAATTTGCAAACTCATGTAGACACACTCACACGTAGACACTTCAGTTCTCAACGCTGTAAAGTTAGTATGTGTGATCTGAACATTCAGATTTATACTCTTTTATTTATTTTATATTTATGCTATCAAGTCCATATAATCTTGAGGTGGACAAGGTGCTCAACTCAAGTTCCACTATTCTCCATAAAACACCACTCTGATGTAAACTCTTTTGAGACCCATAATAACTGATCATTAAACACTAAACATTCTGCCCCTTATCTCATTTTGCACAAAACACATTAAATAAAGCTTAATTTCAGCATTTACTCTCCCTGCCCAGTCCCATGCAAAGCTTGCTGGAAACTCTGCCCAGTTTCAGTAACGCAGTGTTACTGCCAATGAAAAATATTAATTCAAAGGATTATTGGATTGAGCAAAACTTCTGTTTTACTAATTTAGACAGATTGCATGGAGTAAAAATAAATTGTGACAGCATGTTCAAGAATTGTACTGAATTAGCATATTTTAATTATGTAAATTGAGCAAGCAGTTTGTGTGTGTGTGTGTGTTTAATGGAATATAATTTTTTGCATAATATCAACCTAATGTCAAACTATCCCTTTAAACTAAAAATTATTGGATGTTCAAAATGTCCCATCCTAATTTCATGTTTCAATAATAAGTCAACAATAGAAAGAAAGCTGAGCTTGTCTAGTTATTTTTTGTGGTCTTTACGAGTTTTGGTAATACAGAAAGTGCTGCCGGCTTGGTTGCAAGTGTATTATGCACTGTGAACAGTATTATTTACTATAAACATATTTCTGGTTTGCTTATACACACTGAGGG